ACCCACTTCATATGCATTACTCAATGGTTGCCCGGAATATAGTCATCAAAAGTATGTACAAGAAACGGTGATTCAACCTATAAGCAACTATTTTCTATTATTACATGGTACTGTCATGATATTAATGGGTTCACTGTAGCCATAAATGTCAATAAAGCTGAGAAGAGGCACATAAAAGGGCTTCTTCTGTGGAGTCCCACATCCAACAGATGCTAATGAACTGTGTGCTTAGACTTATATTTGCACCTGCACTGTATTCAGCTAAACTGCTGCCCAGAGCAGGTTAGTAGTTAACCCCTTCGCGCCGACTGTCACGTCTACGTGCCAGCAACGAACACACTCACTTCCCGGCTGACACACAGGCGTGCCAGAGCGTTTTCCCGTTCAGCCCCGACTGTCAAGTATTTGTGCCAGTGTCCTGGAACGTTTTAAAAACTATAATTTCTGCCACAAGATGGCACTGTATGTCCATATGGTTTCAGATACATGTACATTAGACCTTCTACTCGAAATGAGAGAAGCATGACTCACATACACGTGTTTTCGATTATATAAACAAAAGGGGAAATAAATGTTTCCGAATGGCGTGATTTATGACATCTCTTTTAAATTTGTACGTGGTAGTTGTTTATTGTAAGTAGAAAAGTTTTATTTTCGCTAAAGCGTTGGGTATTTCAGTTTGCAGTTCAGTTTTTAGAAAATAATTAGATCTTGTTAGACGTGAATTCTTTCTGTTTTTACCGTTGCAATGTCGAAGCGTCGAAAATGTTTAACAGAGCATGATATAGCAGAAATGATGCAAAATATTTCAGATATTGATTCTGAAAGATTAACTGAAAGACATATTTTACAAAACTTTGTTCAGAAGAGACTGATAAAATGAGACGACGATGCTTCATTGGTTCACATTCCCGGAAAAATCCTCCAAAATGGCAAATGAGTTATTACGAGTGCAAGGAATATAACGTAGGACTGTGTGTAGATCCCTGTTTTCAAATTTTTCATACGAAAAGAGAATTTTAAGTAATATATTTAGTTTTCAGATGTATAATGTTAAAAGCCATAAAATGGTGAGTAATGAAAATACAATGTGTAAAATATGCATTTAAACAAGAAATAAGGTAAAGTATATATAAAAATATCTATAAAGCATAAGCTGTTTAAATACTCTATACAGCATTATTAAACAATGCGTTGATACTTTGGAAATTTCATGGATTTAGACTTAATAGCAAAAAAGCCTCCGGCCCTGGACTGACGCTCGCGTAAGACACTGCCGGCCTCTGCGATATGCGCGCATTTGCGCTACCCGGCGCAAAGGGGTTAAACTTAACTAAGTGATTAGTGACGCAGACTGCTATACCGAAGGGCTTAAGCTCGAATCCTGGAGAAAGCATGGATGTTTGTAAGCATATACTGCTGTGTGGAATGGGAGGACTCAAAATACATGATGGGCTGAAAGTCCTCTTGAGTGGCTGGTGGTGGGGAAAGAGGGTTTTGAGATGTTTCGAGTGCCTGTCCAGGATATTTTCCATCAAATTGGGGTGGAGCTTAACCGGTAGAAAGGCTGATATATTAATATGCATTTGGGAATGTGCAGATGCCAATTTTGCTTCAACCTGAACCTGTTAGTTTAACCTTTGGTGGTAGGAGAACAGGGATGGAGGACATTTGGATTTCTCCTCTCTGGGTGACCTCCATCAAAATTGCGGCACAGCTGAACTGGTAATGCGATGGGATAGTACCTGTACAATAAAGGGTGAAACTGTAGTGTCCAACTCACTTCTTCCAGTCTTGTTAGTTGATCAGTTGTTCTAATTGGTATAGTAGTTAGCAATGCTGGCTGCTGTATCTTTAGGCCTAAAGAAGGCATTGATATTTGTAATAACTGCTATATAGCATTCATATACTATGCTAGTGTCTATTAAAATGCTAGTGGGGCAAAAGTCCTCACGAGTAGTTTAGTAGTAAAGGAAGAGAGGTGGAAGACTCTCAAATCCATTCGGCAGGGCATTCTCCATTTGGGGTAGAGCTGCACAATTAGTTTGAAGGTCTATATCCGTATGACCAATGGTAAAATTTTAGTGTACCACCCACCTTAGTTAAGCCCCTGGTAGCAGCTTATTTCTGTTAATCATGACAAAGAGTTCCAGGCACTTGTGTTCACTGATTAGGCATACACATCCAAAGCATTAGTGTCTACTACCAGCTTCACCATCCTTTTTGCACTTATCATACTTAAACCACAAATACTTAACAAGCAGCGCTGTTTTGAAAATATTCATTTCTAACTCTTGCTACATCATAACCTGATTTTTATCAAAGTTGCTCATATCAGCAACCTTCCTTACAAAGGTCCATCTCCAAACAAGTATTTTGATGTCTGCAGCTCCTGCGTCAATCTGTCTACACAGCGAAACACATCTATGACACTAGGAATAGCGATTATCGTGCACAATGGGTTGGATTGGATTATTTAATTATGGCAAAGCACACGAGGGCTATCTGCCTAAAGGGAGTGGCTCGTATGTACGTTACACATGGTGAAAACCACGAAAACGCCCATGCAGACAGCCCGTTCGCAGGATTCGAACCTCGGACTGAACTACCAGTGTTCAGCGTCTTTACCGCTCGGCCGCTGGTGGGCTCTGTGCACAATGGGATAGACGCTTGCTGGAGACATACTTCATGGCAGCCCATGAAACTGCACATGGAAATAACATGTCTGAAAAAGCAATAGTGGCTGAATCAGCATTTAGCTTACTCAATAACACATTCCACAAAATGTTTCAGCTTTTTGTTATTATATTGACAAATTTAATTTATGACGAGATATTTATTTTAGATCATAAATTCCTATTGATTTCTTTATAAATATACTGAAAAATCAAATCAAATACATTTTCAGTATATTTTTCATCTTGATACAAGTGGTTTGTTATTGTTTATAGAATGATATACTTTTTACCTAATTTGTTAGCACTAACTAAACCTGGTACAATATTTTTCCCGTTTAAAAGAACTATTATACTTTTATGTTCTGAGAAGTATGACAAACAAGAAAAGCTTAATTTACGATCCGTTTGCATTTGATTACATTACCGATTTTCTACCCATACAATTTTTAACTTTCAGACTAGCTAGCACAATCACTTGGGGCATTTACCAATAAAATTTCCATGAACCAGCAGATTGCGAGTTAAAATCCAGCTGAGTTAGTTTGATTTTTTTCCACTGAAAATACATGTTTTGTTGTTTCTGAAGTTCTGTAATTAACAGAGATCTGTTACTATAAGAATAATTAAAATTTTACATATTTATATATTTTAAAATTTAATTTAAATATTTAAAAAATTAAGCCTGACAAATAAAGGTATTAAAATTTGAAAATGATTATGCTTGCTGCGAGACCAATTGGATCTTTTACTAGACAGAAATCATGCAATCTACTTTGATTGCTTTAGTAGCTCAGAACAACTTAGATACAAAATCTCTCAAGTAGATCAAATGCTGTCAGGTCAAATGTGTGCAAGGGAGACTTTATTCTGTCCCTGAGAAACTTTGTCTTCACAAGTAGACAGGACTATACATCAACATGTTATGACAAAATGATGCCTCAGTATCCACTGGAGCAAGTATATAACATTTTAATTTTGTTATCGGCAATCTTCATCATTCCGGCAAGCGCATTTTCATAGTGTAGAGATGGTCATAATGTTCTGGCTAATCAATGTTTCCCCCCTTCCTGAAACAACCAAAAATTGAAATATACCAATATTTTCAGCCCTCTCTTCTGAGCATTCTAAATTTTTAGTAACTCGAACATTTTTACTGAAATAAAATATATTGATTTAGAAAATGATCAGTGACACTGCATTTTGTTCAGAAATTATTCATGTTTCTCTTTGTTTCGATTGAATACAATTTAGAAATTGGCTTTTACAAATTTAGGTACTACTCCGTTTTGAGGAATGTAAAAAAATTGCAGTGGAAATGTATGCGCAAAAGCGCCAAATATAGCAAATGCACCCATTTAACAGCAGGCTAAATCTAGCGTACTCGCTGATTTAAAATTGCTTAAGTTTAGATAGTTCTGTAGTTCTTAAGACGCCATTGAAATACTAGTTTAATTTTTAAATCCTTTTTTGATATCTTATGGATTTAACAATTTGGGAATTGCCCATGACGAAAAGTCAGCAATCCATGTACACATCGACCTATTTTCCCTTTAAAAAAAAAAAAAAAAAAAAAAAACAAGAATTGCACAAAAATGGCACTGCGCACACTCTTGACTTTATCTATGTACACATCAGCCTATTTTCACTTAAAAAATAAAAGAAAATTGACAAAAATCCAATTGTTTTTAATCTTGTAAAAAGTGCCAAACAACTAAGTGGGCAATTCTGCACTTTACCGAGAATTTTTTCAAAGAAAAGGCATCATTCACTATAGAAAATTGTGTTTGAACAACCAACGAGATGAAATTATGCTTTAGCGATAACTCGGTAGCGAAATAGCGATGCAGGAATCCATTCAGTAACGTTTAGCTTTTTTTTTTTATATAAATTATAATAATGATCTGAAATAGTTATTTACTCTTATGCTTCCATTCAGTTATGTTAAGCCTTTTTTTAATATAAATTATAATAAAAAAGTATTATATGAATTAACCTTTCATTTAAATTAAAACAATAATCTTTAGATAGTTGTTTACTATTATTATACTTCCTTTCTTGCGTTAGGGTTGCTGCAATTATTTTTGGCAGCACTAGCATCAACAACAGTTTGGTGATTTTTTACAGTCCTCAAAATGGAATAGTACCCAAATTTAATACTGAACATTAAAATTTTTGCGTTTTAAAAAAAAGTTTTTGTTTGGAATTGGAGCTTTTTAATACAATATTTTACTAAGAAAAACTTAGAAAGCATAATATTAAAATACAAAAACAAAAAATGAAATAATGAGAACTAATATAACTTGTACAAATTTAGACACTTACCCGCATCACTTGAATAGTTACAGTCCATTTCAGAATCTTCTTCATCACTATCGAAATTATCAGGATTTGAAGAAACGGCAAAATGGGAAATAGTTTCAATTTTCTCATCTACAGAATATAAACTGGAGCTATCTTTATCTTGATAAACAGTTCTTTTTGCTTCTTTAGAGGATAAACATGCATTCTGTCTTAATTTACTTTTAATACTATCAACAGAAAGAGTAGGCACAGTCTGTAGTTTCCCATCAGTAAGACTAGATTCACTTTTAATATCAGGTTCCTCAATACTTGTGCTACTCTTTATAAAAGAACCAGGAAGTTGAGATTCTTGGGACTTTTCTACAGAAAGGGTCTCTGAACCAAGCTTTACTGGGTCTGTATTACTTAAAGATGATAACTTAAAAACTGAATTTGTATCACATGCTGATGAAGATACAGATGCTGCTTTAGAATCAGAAGGGAAAAACACATCAAAATTATCAAACGAATCAAACAGTGATTCATCATTGGCATTTAATTCAGCTAATGTTGGGCTCTGAATAAGATCATCCTTATCCACCTGAAACACATCATCCATTTTCATAGTTTCCAAATCTAAAGGACAGCTACCCCAAAATGAAAGAGGGCTATTTGCTTCAAAATAGGGATCAGAAACTGATGAAAACACTTCCGATAATGGCTGCCAGGATCCTTCCAAGTTTGACATAGTTACATCATGGTAGAAGGGCCCATCATAGTTGGATTCATTAACAGCAAATGCATTTTCCTGTAAAAATGTAGCATTCTTTTCAACATCTTTGGTTAAATCAGGATTACACACAAGTTCTTCTTTTATTACGATAGGATCATATGGCTCAGTTTTAATATCTGCTTCAGTTGGCTTACACGTCGTATTCTGAACATTTGCATTTGAATTCACGGGTTGTGGAAGAGTTGCTGAGGCTAAATAAATTAAGAAAGAAAACAATTAAATGGCAGTAAAAGACATTAGATTCTTAATATACATTGTAACAGGTGACTGAAGAGCCTAACATATCATAATAAGTGAGCAATATTTTCTGATTTAATGCCCAAATTGCAAAATACAATACTAATGTTTATTAATCACACATAGTATTGTACATTATAAAATACTAATGTTTATTAATCACACAAATACAACTTCAAGGCCAAGGAGGACCTTGCACTGATGATGTTAACCATCGCCATATTTCCTTTTATGTCTTCCACAGTATGAGGATTGTTTGCAAACATCAGGGGGGGGGGCAAACTTCCTGTCAGTAGAAGCTGCACTTTAGAAGAGCCACAACTACATATTTATATCATTTTAAAAGAAATATAATAAGTTTTGAATGGGGAAGGCGAGATATGATAATTTAACAATGATACTGCATGTGTGATTAACGTGGTTATTATTAAATAACTCACAATAATTTAAAATAAATTAATTATTCTCGTTCTAACGCTGCAATCAGGAAGGTATATTTTTATGACACAAACTTTATATTTTTGTATGATGGTCCTGATTTTTATTATTTTTATTATTATTATATTTTTTCAGACAACTGATCTAGCATTTCCATTCAACTTCCTAATTCTTAATTCCATCATAATTATCAACTGATTTTTGTAGCAATTAAAAAATAAAAAGAGAGCGAGAACACTGCAGTTTATACAGCAATTTTAAATGCTTTTCATTCTAGTGAAGAATAGCGCAATAATTAAAAGAACAAGACTAATGAATTTTTTAAATTACATAACAAGTGACAATGCAGTTTGATATATGAAAATTATTTAAAATAAACTGTTAACTTAGCAGGGTTTTGCACAAGTAACAATAATTTTCTCACGTGAAACTATCAAAATCATAATTAAGATAAAATAATACGCCGAACAAATATCAATTTAGAAATCACACAACAAAAATCAGCGTTATATTTTCAAATTTCACAGGACTAGTTTTGATGGCTTTACCGAACCATCATCCTCAGCTGCAAAAGCGCAAATGAATGTAATAAGATAAGAAACCCTGGACAGGAGATAAGCTACTGGTTTCCAGCTCCTTCAGAAGGATGCATGCAGTCCGGTGAATAAAGTGCCTTGGTTCCAGTTTGCGGGATGGCCGTTCCTGAATAAAGTTCCTTGGTTTATGTCCACAAGATTATTGTTCCGGAATAAATTCCTTGGTTCCAGAGGCTACCATGTGAGTGACTGCCGTGGATGGCATCCATGTTCTTCAATAAAGGCGGCAATTAAAATACGTGAGCGGCGATTCCTTGTGCAAACGGAGTTAGGCCGGTTTTAAGTGCTTTCAAGAACTTGATTTAAATTTCAGGTGTTTTTCTCGGCCATTGATTATGGACTTATTGAATGTGTAGCCAGCTTCATTTTTAGGCAGCATAATTACTGTTTAGGACATTTTGTTTGTATAGAATGCCAGTGTTTTGGAGACCAGGTAAAAATATTATTTGATGAATGATGGTTATATTATATTTTTCCTAAGACTCTGATATTGTTGAAATTTATTTTTCTGTGTTTTTATTCTTTATTATATTGTTAATAAATTGGTTAAGTTCAAAATCTTTTATTGTCTCAATGTCTGCACAACATATCTCAGGGAGCTTTTATTGCTACTACTGCTAAATGTTTAATTTCTTTAAACTTTAAACCTTGCTTTAGCATCACCCTCGAGGACCATACAAATTTGCACTAACAAAATATGCATACAGTACACACGGGATTAGGTGACATTATGATAAGCAGTAAATGGATCATTTTGGTGCTAGGACAATTTTCAAAATCGTGCCACGGCTTTACCATATACTTTACCATATATATATATATATATATACACACTGACTACCATTAAGTATTTGGACACCTATGCAAATGATGATATTTGCAATCCTAAGGTACATCACGGACTCCGCCTGTATATATTGTGTAGGAAACAGCATCGGCTTTAGTCACATGCAAGATGCCTCGCTGTTCAGAGCTCTCTGATTTCGAGAAAGGTATGATTATCGGGTATCACAAATGTGGCCGATCCTTAAGGGACATATCTAGCGATGTGAAGTAGATTCTTAATATACATTGTAACAGGTGACTGAAGAGCCTAACACATCATAATAAGTGAGCAATATTTTCTGATTTAATCCCCAAATTGCAAAATACAATACTAATGTTTATTAATCACACATAGTATTGTACATTATAAAATACTAATGTTTATTAATCACACAAATACAACTTCAAGGCCAAGGAGGACCTTGCACTGATGATGTTAACCATCGCCATATTTCCTTTTATGTCTTCCACAGTATGAGGATTGTTTGCAAACATCAGGGGGGGGGGGGCAAACTTCCTGTCAGTAGAAGCTGCACTTTAGAAGAGCCACAACTACATATTTATATCATTTTAAAAGAAATATAATAAGTTTTGAATGGGGAAGGCGAGATATGATAATTTAACAATGATACTGCATGTGTGATTAACGTGGTTATTATTAAATAACTCACAATAATTTAAAATAAATTAATTATTCTCGTTCTAACGCTGGAATCAGGAAGGTATATTTTTATGACACAAACTTTATATTTTTGTATGATGGTCCTGATTTTTATTTAATTATTATATTTTTTCAGACAACTGATCTAGCATTTCCATTCAACTTCCTAATTCTTAATTCCATCATAATTATCAACTGATTTTTGTAGCAATTAAAAAATAAAAAGAGAGCGAGAACACTGCAGTTTATACAGCAATTTTAAATGCTTTTCATTCTAGTGAAGAATAGCGCAATAATTAAAAGAACAAGACTAATGAATTTTTTAAATTACATAACAAGTGACAATGCAGTTTGATATATGAAAATTATTTAAAATAAACTGTTAACTTAGCAGGGTTTTGCACAAGTAACAATAATTTTCTCACGTGAAACTATCAAAATCATAATTAAGATAAAATAATACGCCGAACAAATATCAATTTAGAAATCACACAACAAAAATCAGCGTTATATTTTCAAATTTCACAGGACTAGTTTTGATGGTTTTACCGAACCATCATCCTCAGCTGCAAAAGCGCAAATGAATGTAATAAGATAAGAAACCCTGGACAGGAGCTAAGCTACTGGCATCATCTGTTGATGAAACTAGAACTAAAACATAATTTCTTTGAAGGACAGAAAGATTTTTTGGAATGTGAAATGCCTCTAGAAAATCCAGTTCACCAATGGACGATGTTTTTTGAATAATTTTGGCAGCATAAAAATTGAAAGTGTGATATTCGGACCAAGAATGTTGGGCAACAGAAGACTTCTGTGTTTCCTTTTTTCTAACACATGCCTCATGTTGCTTAACGTGAAATTTTAAAACTCTTAGTTTGGCCAATGTAAATTAAACCCCACTGGCAAGGAATCCTATAAATACGCTAGGAATTCATAACCGGAATGGGGTCTTTGAGTATGGAACTCGGAATTTTATTGATGGGAGAATAAACGACCCGAAAGTAAAATTTCTGCAAAACACGTGCAACTTTATAGCTAATTCATAGAAAGAAGACAATGACAATAGAATTTTTATAATCCCCTAAAACAAGAGTGTGCCTTTTAGTCTGTTGAGATGAGAATTTTTTAACTGCTTGATTAATAATGTTGGGTGAAAAGCTCCTGTCAATAGCTATTGCTTTTAAATAATTTAGTTCTTCATCAAGGGATAGTTTGGAGAAGCAAACCTGAAGAGTACGGAAAACATAGGAATAAAATGAAGCTAACTTTTGTTTAGTCGGATGACATGATTTAAAGTGTGGTGGAAGGCAAACCGTAGTACTGAAGTTGGATGTGTTACGTGTGACCAGAATGCTGAGAAGTGGAAGAAAATTGCAAGTATCAAGTTCAAAAGTGAACTGAATAGCAGGATCAATAGAATTCATTTTTGAAAGAACTTTATTTAAATCATTTTTATTACCTTCAAACAGGGTAAACGTATCGTTTACGTAGCAGAAACATACTGGAAAGTTTAAAGTTTCAAATAATTTTGATTCATAATAACACATGTCAGGATGGGACTGAGGGGGCTTCCCATAGCTAATCCCTCAGTTTGCTTGTAATATTTATTTTGGAAAACAAAATGCGTTTGTTTCAAACAGAGTTGAGTGAGAGAAATTAGCTGATCAATTTCGATGGAAGAGAAATGAAATTCGCGATGTCTGGTTTCTAGACATCTTAATACACCCTCCACTGAAACATTGGCAAATAACGATTTTACATCAAAAGAAACCATAAGTAAATTTCTAGGAGAAATGTTTTAACCTTTTTTACAAACTCTATTGAATTTTTTATGGTGTAAATGTTATTGTTTAATAGAGTTGAAAATCTAGAAACTAAATATTTAGCTAATGGATACAAGGCAGTAGCTAAATTTGATACAGTAGGGCAGAAAGGAATACCACTTTTATGAATTTTGGGAAGAGCATAAAATCTGGCACAATTCGCAACAGATGGGATAAGTGAATGTTTTAAGTTGCCTGAAATGATTTGTGAAGATTTGATCGCAGTTTTGATTTTTGACAGGTCCGAACGTGAAAGATCTTTAAAGATCGGATTATATGGTCCTTCATTTAAGAGTTTAGTGACACCATCAATGTAAGTGTTCTTATCCATGACAACTATCTGGCCACCTTTGGCAGCCTTTGAATTGATAATATCCGGGTTAGAATGAATTTCACGCATTGTAGCTCTTTCTCTCATGGTTAGATTTGGTTTCAAAGGTTTATTATTGAATTTCACATTATGAGCGATAAGATAACTAATCATTTCTTTCTGTGAATCTGAAGCTTTACTGAACTTGAAAGCTTTTTCGATAGGAGCCAAAATCTTTGAGCTTACTATGAATGGGGACCAACGGTCCCAGCCAATACCAGGAGAAACACCCCCGGACCAT